TCAAAACCAAGGGACTGAAATGCCAGGATCCATGAGGAAGAAGGATGGCGAAGATGATTAGTGAGAAGGATCTGAAGAGCAGAGGGCTCTAGGAGGGGTGTAGGTCCTCAGGGCACCGGTACCTTGCTGACTTCAATGTTGCAAGGCCTCGGGCCTCGGTTCTGTCCCCTTCTCCTCACCCACACTCTCTGGGTGGCTTCCTCACTTAAGTCCCATGGCTGAGCACACCATTTAAGCACTGATGGCTCCCAACTCTAAATCCCCTCCCCACCTCTCTTCTCACCTCCAGACACAAAAGCCAATGGGCAGTTCAAAGTCTAATGGAGCTCCCAAAGTTAATGCATCCAAACTTGAACTCCTGATTTCCCACTGGGCTCCCAAATCTCTCTATTCTTCTCTCCCCGACCTCAGAAAATGACCCTACCCAGGGGCTCTGACCCAAACTGTGGAATTATCCTTGACCCCTGCCTCAGAGTACATTCCACTCCCGATGCTCCCTGCATCCACCAGCCGCCTGCGTGAGGCAACACCTCTCTTGCCCTGAAGACTACAATACTCTTGAGCTTATTGCCCTGGTCCCATGGTCGCCACTGTTTCCAGTCTCCACACAACGGCACAGTGAATTTTTAAGAATGTAAGTCAGATCAGCCTACTTTCTTGCCCCAAACCTCCATTAGTAGTCATCACAACTAAATGAAAGCCCACAGACTTACGTGGCCCATGACCAGCCTGACCCCCCACCCCCGTGGCTCCAACCTCATCACCCTCCACTCCCTCTTATCTCCCAGTGATGGTACCTCCAGGCTGCTCTTCAGAGCCCACCACCTTGCCCCTTCCTTGGCATTTGGTACGCGGGGTTCCACCTACCTGCACAGCTTCACCTCATGTATTCTGCATTGCTCACACCCTGCGGCTTCCAAAGGGAATCACATGTCACCTCTGCAGAGAAACCTTCCCTGCCACAGGTTCCGAAGATGAGCCACCTCCATCCACCCCTGCCTTATCCTCTCTTTCCTCTACCTTATTCTGCTTTTCTTCAAACCGTTCATACTGGACATTCATCATATTTGTTTGGCAACCCAGTAGGTTTTGACATTCTTGCTTTGTTGGGGAAATTTCACGAGTTCCTGAGGCAGGAGCCAGTGCCCTGTGTTTAATAGCACTCTTCCCAATTCACTTCTACTGGGAACCTCAGAATGTGACCTTAATTGGAAACTGGTTCTTTGAAGCTATAACTAGTTAAGAAACTTAAGATGAAATCATCCTAGGTTTAAGATGGGCACTAACCAATGACTGGCATCCTTATAAAAGAGGAGGTTTGAACACAAAGATGCAGATATGTCAGAGGAAAGACCAGGTGACAATAGAGTCAGGGATTGCAGTTCTGCGGGCACAAGCCCAAATAAGTCTTAGAGGGAGCATGACCCTGCTTACTTCTAGCCTCCCGGCTGTGAGAGAATAAAGTTGTAAGTTAGTGGTAATTTGTCACAGCTGACTTAGCCAACTCATACAGGAGAAAACTCATTTATCTAGATGCCAGGGAACCAGGGCACAAGCAGGAAACCCAGATTCCCTCAAGAAGATGATCCTGCATGAGACTTCCGCAGGGGATCTGAGCACCCAGTGGGAGGTCACCCCTACCGTTCATGGATTCCTGGGGTAGACCTTAGACATGGAGAAGCAGAGCAGAAGTCATCTCTGAATGTCCTGTCCAGGTCCCTGACCCACAGAGTCCACAAGCAGAATAAAATCATTGACCTTGATAACGTTGGGATGGTTTGTTATACAGCAACAATAACTTCAACAAAAAACAAAATCATTCCTCTATGATGGCTTGGGGAAGATGGAGAGAAGAGATATATTGAAGAAGGCCTTTGTCAGAAAGATAATGGGATGGTTTAAAAAGTTGGATCTCAGATTTCCCAGGGTCCCATCAGAGACCCACAAACATGAGGTCCTTCAGGATACGATAAAATCTATAGGAATCCTAAACATTTAGAATATTTCAAAACCTTTGGTATAGTGTACTTGAGAGGATCCTGTAGTGATTGACAGTAGTGATTGATAGCAAATACTGACATTGTACTGGGCTTTCCATAGTCACAGTGCCATGTGACCCTCCCAATATCTCTGCAGAGCAAGGATTATTATTCCCATTTTACAAATGAGGCCTGAAGAGCATAGAAACTTCCACCCTCTTTGAACCCTAAAGAGACTTGAGGTCCCAATTGCCAACGATCCATCTCCCCAGAGCAGTCTCCGAAGGCTAGAAAGCTAAGCGACCTCCACAATCTCCTTTCGTGATATTTTAAGGCCACTGCCAAGGATAATGTTGTCACAGAGGCAACTTAGGGTAGTTACCAACGTGAGAGAAAACTCTGGGTGCCTGCAAAGCCCACGACCGGAAGCTCAGAGCAGCAGGTCATAAATTATTTTTATAAAAGAAAAGGCCAAGCAAGGGGCTGTTTTAACAGCCGTCTGGCATCTCTATCCTGCAGTCTGAGCTGAGTTTGTACTAAATTTCATGCTTCAGGGCAGAAATTCATACCAGAAAAAAATGTTCTGTGGTGCATTTTTGTGCAGTTGGGTTGAGCCAAGATTCTGTTCCAATTTAAATTAAATGATGCCTAAGCTGATATACTATAAAAGATATCAATAAGGAAGCGCCAGTAAATACTGACAGGCTACCCACAGGGTGCTGAGCACCACTAGAAACCTGCTAATATCACTAGAATGAAAGAAAATGGTGGCCTTTGAGGTTGGCACAATCCATTCTATAAGCTAGAGAGAATTGTCAAGCTCAGAGCAACCCAGAAACAAATGGTCCTTGTAAGGCTGCTAATCCATTTAAAATAATTAGTACCAGGTTATTAATTTGGCACCCTCCCAAAGATATTACAAGGGACTGCCAGATTTCATGAGAATGTAGACAATAATAGAACCACCCCCCCAAAAAAAAAACCCAGAAATCTAAACTTCAAGCAAAACATCATCTTATCTCACTGCTTGCTTCAATATGCAGATGAGAAAAAATTCAGCTCATGAAGATTTAGGGACTTCTCAGGGAGATGTTAGTTCACTGAAATGGTTGCATAGAGCTCAGTGCTCACAAGAAGAGAGGGTGGGTCTCTACCACTCAAAAGTTAGATGGCATGTGGCCAAGCCAGTTCCTCTCACTGAGACTCAGTTGGTTTCCACTTCTCTATAATGGAGATGCTGATGTATCTCACCTCATACTCTTGCTGAAAGAAATAAAACAATGGATGCAGTATACCTGATATACAGTAAGTGCTCAATCACATTTAGCTGCTGCTGCTCTTTCCTGGAATTATACGGGCAAATTTTGGCTGAGACAGGATGAAAATCCACGTCTCCAGGCTCTCTGGCTGATCTTCATATCATGCCACTTTAACAGAAAGAAGAACATTTTTAGCCTATATCCCTGGGTTTATGTTCTTATCATTCTGTATAGACCACATATAGGACACCAACGAGCACCTCATAAGTTGAATAAAATATAAATAAATTAATAAAACTCTTGTTGTTGTTTTTTTCAAATAAATGTTCAGAACCCATCCTGCAACCCCATGCAGAATCCATGAAACTGAAGGCAGTTTCCCTTGAGACCAACAATTTCTGGCTAATTAAAATGAATGTTGTATCGATGAAAGATTATTTTAAAATGGCACTGATAGTGTTTAGACATTGTCATAACATCAGCCGGTGGATCACTAATTTGCAAATTTTACTAAAGATCTTGCCAATTAAAACCCCTTCTAGACACTCTCAAACACACTGTGGATGACAGCTGATAGACCACATGGTAAAGACATGATCACATTAAAATCACACAAGCCTGTTCTCCCTGGAAGGGCTGAGGGAGAGAGACGGGGCATGTCCCCAAAGCGGGTGCCACCGACTCAACCCAGCCAAACTGTCAGAGGAAGAAAGCAAATCTTTGGGTTTTATTTTACCCTAACTGCTTTCCAAAACAAACAGTGGAACTTCTCAAAAAGTCTATGGGAAATGATCATCCTGCAAAATTGTTCCTGTGTATCTCTTAGGGAGATGGCCAAGACAAGTGAGTCTCGGCAGCAAACTGAAACTCACTAAGATACAAGTCAGTTTGCCTGAGGCTTTGGTCCAGAGCCCTCTGGGGACATTTGCTCTTCTCCAGTGGTTGCAGAAGGGGCCACAGTCATGATCAGACTGTCTTTAGGAAGTCACCTCAGTTAATAGCTACAGCGAATTCCTATGAAAGTCAACTCCATAAACTCCATCCAACAGTGGGTCACCAGGGAAATTCTTCTAGATTGGAAGTTAAGGTAACATTACAAAACGTATTTAAATGGACAGATTCCATACGCATTGGGGGCCTGCCATGTGCATGGTCATTGATTAATCACAGCAACCCTATGATCTCCAAAAGATAGATGAAGAAATCAGGACTCAGAGATGTTGTAGACCTCCCCATCCCCAGACACACAGCTGCTACCCAGTAGAGCAGGGATTCCAAACCCAGTCCTGTCTGGATCCAGGACCCTGGTGCTGGAAACACACAGTGAGTCTGGCCTTATCCCTCAGGTGTGCGATCTGCCACACACTAATCTGACTTTGGTCTTTTCTCATATCCATGTGTAATAATATTTCTCCATTCACTGAAATGTTCAGGAATATACCAAGTTATACAAGTGGAAACGCACATGAGGCTACTATGCATAGAGATTCTGTATAGACCACGTGTAGCAAGTTTATTAAGACTTCAGATTATAGATATGTATTTGTAAAGCATTTAAAATTAGAATAGGTTTACTAAATAAATAGGTAAGTAAATAAAGGTACTTATAACTATAGTATAATAGGTTATCCTAAAGCTCAGCAGTGTAAAACTCCATGAATTCCAGGAGTTGGGGACTTAATGGAACACAAAGGAGCAATGGTCCTTGCCCCATGGTAGCTGGGCCCTTGGCTGAAGACTTGAGGTTGATGGCTAGACTCACCAGAAAGCTCACCCCACACCAAGTCCAGAGAACTAGAGGCCTCAATTCCCCATCAGCATCTCCATGGGCTGGCTCCACACAGACCTCACAGCCTGAGGACGGTATCCTAAGGGCCCAGAGAGAAAAAGCCAGGGATGGGACATTCTATCACCTTTATGACAGTCCTTGAATATCACACACTGGACTTCCACTACAATCTGTTCAGGAGAAGCATATCACTGAAGCCATCCCATATTCAAGGGGAAGGGAATCAGACTCCTCCTCTTGTCAAGAGCAATAACAAAGTCCTGAGAGGGAAAAGGTGAGGCTGAAAATATTGCTGACGTCACTTTAGGAAAATAAAATATGGTACCAGTGGGAATATTTGCCATATTTCAAAGAGCAAATTACTTATATACATTCTATGTGAACAGACTAGCAACTATAAACCTTCTTTTCTGTTCTCTAAAGCAAATTTATGTGCACATATTAATTATAAAGTATTTTATATTCTTGTTGTTTTAAAACAGTCCCTCTGAGTATGCTACTAAAAACCATTGGCCCAACAACCAGATATTAGGTCTGAAGGTTATAAAGTTATATTTGTCTTTAAACATTAAATGACAGTGAATTTTAAAATTTAAACCAGGTTTCTCCTCTCTATGAGTTTTCTGGTTTTTTTTTTTTTTTGTATGTACTTACACAATGTGGTCATCAAAGATCACTGGGGGTCACACCGTTCCTTCCACTGTAACTAGGCACGCAAGACTGAACCTAAATTATTCCCGTGTTGTTATTATTTTATCTACTAAAACTCCAAGCGGAAGGAAAATGTGACCTAATACCTCCCACTAGCCCCCCAATAGGCAGGGTGCACTATTTGGTTTTAAAATATTGGGGGATTTTCCAGAGATCTTTCTGTTATGACTTTTTAATTTACATCCATCATGGTCAGAGAACACACTTTGAATGACTTAAACACTTTTTAAATGTTTTGAAACTGGTTTTATAGCCCAAACCATGATAAATATTCTGTGTGCACTTGAGAAGAGTTTGAATTCTAATGTTTTGGGGTTAAACCTTCTATACATGTCAATTACATCTTGTTGGTTGACTCATTGTTTAATATTTTGTCTCTTTACCCACTTCTCAGTTTATTTATTCTGTTATTGAGGTAGCGGTATGAAATCTCTGACAATAATTGAGAATTTATCCATTTCTTGAAATTCTATTAGCTTTAGTCTCATGCATTTTGAAGTTCTACTATTAAGAAAATTAATACTTAAGACTGTCATGTTCTCTTGATGAACTGACCCCTTTATCTTTATGAAGTGACTTTCTTTGAGCCTGCTAATAATCTTTGCTATCATGTCAACTTCATCTGATAATAATTGTGACTCCTCCAGCTTGATTTTGGTTAGTATTCACATACATATATTTTCCCACTACCTTTAAACCTATTTCTCTTTATTTAAAGTAAGTTACTTGCAGATGGTATAAAGTTGAGTATTTTAAAATCAGACTGATACTATCAACCATTTATTTGGGTGTTAGACCTTTTAAAATTAATGTAGTTATTGATATTGTTAGGGTCAAGTCTATCATCTTGCTATTTGTTTCCCATTTTTTCTCATCTGTTCTTTGTTCCATTTTTTTATTTTTCTTCTTTTTTTTGATTTTTTAATGGATTTTTTACAATTTATTTTATCTCCTTAACTTACTTTTTTTTTTCCTTTTTGAATAATTTTAGTTGTCACTTGAGGGTGGATGGCATAGATATTTAATTTACCCAGCTACCTTTAAGTGTTATTATACCATATCCCATATAGTATAAAATATCCTAGAATCTCATATATTCATTTCTCAACTCCTGACCACTGCATTACACCATGTATTTTACTTTTACATATGTTGTAGACCCTACATTACATTTACTATTATTTTAGCTTAAATGATCACTAATCTTTTAAAGAGATTTAAGTAGTAAGAAAAGTGTTTCTATCTACTCTTGTAATTCCTTCATTCAGACCTTGTTCAACCTCATTACTGTTGACATTGTTCCCATTGAGGGAAGCCCTGTGCATTGCACGATATTGAATAGCATCCCTGGTCTCTGCCCCCTAGATGCTAGAGCCTTCTCCACACCCTCCCCCAAGTCATGACAACCCAAATAACTCCAGATGTTGCCAAATGGCTAGGGGACAGGAGTAGAATCAACCTCAGCTGAGGGCCATTGCTACATATCCATTTTTCATATTGGTATCATTTCTTTCTTCTTAAAAGTCTCCATTTAATATTTTGTGTGTGAGAGTATGCATGTGATACATTCTTGTTTTGTATTTCTAAAAAGTTGTAATTTTACCTTGGTTTTTGATAGATAGTTTCACTGGCTGATATTTTTGCTCTTTCAGCCGTTTAAAAATGTGGCTTCATTGCCTTTTCCCTTGGCTCATTTCCAACAAGAAGTCTACTGTCATCCTTATCTTTTTCCCTCTGTACAGAATGTGTGGTTTTTCCCTGGTTGCTTTCAAGATTTTCTCTTTATCACTGGCTCTGAGCAAATTGATTATGATGTGCTTCTATGTTGTTTTCTTCATGTTTCTTATGCATACGGCTCATTCATACGCGTATAAATCTTAATCTACAAACAGGTGTACAACAAATGTAAAATTTCTTTTCTTATTTTAACTCAAGTTAAATGTAACTTAGTGCCAACCCTCTCTAACAGCCTGTAAAATATTCAACAACAGTTATTATTATCCCTTCCCCATTGGAATGGGACAGTTCCTGGGGCCTTACCAGATTGGGAGAGCTCTCCTGTCATGGGTTGTTGACATGCAGAAGTCTCAACAGCACACCAATGGTTTGGTCACTACCAGTGTTGTCTCTAATCCACCTGAGCCATGGGAGTCTTCAGGTGGTCAGAGTCCTGTGGCTGAACCCCATCTTCAGGATGGGACCTAAGCCTTCTGTCTCCCCTGGTACACTTCTCTTTCCTGGAGCACTGCAGTGGAGTCCTGCCTCTCTCCACCTGAAGGAATTCTCTCCTTCATTACTCCCAGAGACTCTCGTCCTTCTTCCTTTTTTCCTCTACATATGTAGCACCATCTATTCAATATGTCTGTTTCCAAATAAAAACAAACAGGAAAATCAGCTAGCTGTAAAAATCTTCTACTTTTTTTTCCAACATGAAAAAATAGCCAAGCAATGAAATGATGACAGTAAAGCAACCTACTTGAAAAGAGCACAAAGGAGACAGTTTGGAGAGCAAAATCCAAACTAATATCAAAGACCACTCTGCCACCTATATAAATTGTAATACAAGGTGACGACGGCATAATGTATGTGAATAAAATGCTATGGGAATGGTTGGGAGTTGTTATGGTGGGGCATGAGGTGTCCCCTGAGAAGCTCATGTTAAGCAATATAGGACATTCAGAGGTAAAATGATTAAATCATGACAGCTATAACTTAATCAGTGGATGTGGATTAATCCACTTGGGGGATTAATAATTTGAACAGATTACTGCATGGTAACAACAGTCAGGTGGGTCATGGCTAGAGGACATAGGAAGTACCCTGGCCCCTTGCTCCCTCTCTCACTCTGTTTCCTGGCTGCCTGCCCTGAGCTGAGATGCTTTCATCCACCAAGCCCTTCTGCCATGCTCTGCCTCACCTCATGCCCAGAGCTATGGAATGGGTCAACTGTAAACTGAACCTCTAAAACCATGACCCTTACATAAACCTTTCCTCTAAATAAAACTTGAAGTTGTTCTGGTCAGTATTTTGGTCACAGTGATGAAAAGCTGACTGCTACACCTATAAAGAAGGAAGGACTAAGATGAACCTTAAAAGATAAAGGAGAGTTTGCAAGGACAAAATGAAGGGATTCCACAGAGAGGGAGACGCTTATGTAAAGATCGTAAGTGGTGAGCATCAAGGGAACAGTGAGAGAAAGAGAGAAGGTTGTGTCGGGGGGGTGTGCAGGCGAAGTAATGGAAAGGATGGGAGAAAAAGCTAGAAATGTAGGCAATAAATACTCAGGAAAGACATTATATGCTCATGTTTGGTCTTGTAGGAAACAGGCAGCCAGTAGAGATCCTTTAGGGGTGTGTGTGTGTGTGTAAGTAACTCTAGTTTTTTATTATGTGGTTATCAAAAACTAGGATACATCAATGATGGCAAAAAAAAAAAACTGTACTCATTTTTTATTGCTGGGTGAAATACTACCACTTACAGCAACACATTTACTATCTCACAGGCTCCGAGAGTCAGGAATCCAGGCCAGCATAGATGGGTTCTTTGCTCAGAATGTGCAACACAACTGCAGTCAAGATTTCAGCTAGGGCTGGGGGCTCACCTGGAGGCCAGACTGGAAGGAGATCTGCTCCATGCTCAGATGGCTGTTGGCGGAGTTTGGTTCCTGGACGGCTGTAACTGTGGGCCTTGATTTTTTTCCAGCTGTTGGCCAGAGATTACCCTCAGTTCCTTACCACTGGGCTCACAACATGGTAGCTTGTTTCCACAAAGCCATCAAAAGAAAGAATCTGCTAGAAAACCAGAAATCAAAATGTTACGTGACGTAATCATGGAAGAGAAGTCCTGTCACTTTTGCTGTATTTTATTAGTCAGAAGCAAGTTGCAGGTCTCTCCATCCCACATGCAGGTCCAAGGATCACAGAGGGAATGAATACCAGGAGAAAGGGATTACCAGGCCCATCTTAGAACCCACCTCCCACAGAGGAAAAACTACTTCTAGTAGTAGGTGGTCACGACCCCTGGTCTAGTTAGGTTAGATTAGAAATACTAGTTGTCCTCGTCTTACACATGTGTCTCCAAGCCACCTGTTGTCACCTGTTCAGTATGGGCTCACCTCCAAGAAGAAGATTAGCAATTTTATGAATTAAGGGAGCACTCACTTAAACTATAAAAGACAAATATTTTTGAACTTACATAAAAGTCCATGTATTTGTTAGGAAAGAGATTTACCAAATCTGATTCATTCTTTTCACATGCAAGACATAAGGGTCAGGGGGGTAGCTAGCAATAGAGTGCTTTCCTCTACCAAATGCAAAATACAGACAAATGCATGAGGATCTTGTAGAACTTATGTGCATTACCCATGACAATGACTTTAAAGAAGCAAGATAGTATCTTTCAAGCTGACAAGTAATTATAATTATAAGTAGACATTAATGGATGTGATTTAATAACTTTTCTCAGGGTTTCTTTTTTCTTTTTGTTGTTCAGGACCAAATTCCAAACATTAGGCATATTTCATAACTTGATTAGACTCTGAAGCTTTTCAGGTTGGGTGTAAAGACTAGCACCGTTAGTAGGTAAAGCCAGGAGATGCATATTCCAGACCTACCTACCTGCTCCAAAAGCTCACTGTGTGAACCTTAGAAACATTACTTAACCATTCTAGGCCTCAATGTCCTCATCTAAAAATGGATGTCATTGGACTAAATACTGTCTTTCAGCTCTCACAGCCTATGAATACTTACTTTCCTTACCACTTAATCATCTTGAATTATGCCCAATTGTTTTATCCTAAATTTGAAGGGCCTTTGGGGACTTGTAATTTGCAATCAGTCACTTCAAGATGAGTGTCAAGAGAACGGTCCCAAGTATGAGATATAAACTGACTGCAAAGTGGATCTCTGGAGCTGGCAAAGGGTAAAACATTGACTGCAGAGCAGGGGGAGAGATCCAGCTGCAACAGAGTGACTGGTCTTCCAGTGTCAAGTTTAACTTGTGCATTCTCCCAGAGACTTCCTAACCAAGGGTCCTGGCATGTATCCAGATGGTGTAATTATAGATGTAGAGTCATTCTTCTATGCAACTCCCGGTGTTCAACTAAGACCAGGCGTGGCCCACTCCTACCCTAAACTACAGAGGCCAGACTCTTCTCCCTGGTGCCTCTTACCTCCATCACCACCCACTGACAGAAAGATTATTTCCTGCCCACACACATGGTTTGGTGAGCATGTTTTGGTAATCTTTATTCAATAAATATGAGTCGTGCAAGTTCCCAGAATGGGAGACATGTATCAATAAGTGTGCAAACATAAAGACATTATTACAAGCTGTAATAGTACCTCTAAAGCAAAAGCAGAAGGTGTTCTGGAAGCATAGAATGGGGACATTGAATCTAAAGACAGAAATTGCAAGCAAGTGATATTTGAGCAATAATCTAAAGGATGCCCTGGAGTTAAACAGAAAAATGTAGACAACAGCAATATGCCTTATGGGCAAAGATCAAGGGAAGGATGGGACAGAAGGAGTCTAGTGTCATATTAAAGCCAGATTAAAGACATCCTTCTATTGAGGGACCCCACTGAAGAGTTTTAAGCTAAACAGTAATGTCTATTTTGAATTTTTAAAAGATCACTCTGACCAGAGTTTGGAGACAGCAAAAGTTCAGTGAAGAAGATACTGAGCAGACTAGGAAAGAGGTTGGAGTAATTTGGAAAAAAGTGGAGAAAATAAAAATGAAGAGAGATGAATGGATTGCAGAGATTTTAAATTTTTAACTGGCAAGATTTAATGGTAAATTCAGTACAGACTGAGAGTAGAGCTTCTAGGTTCCTATCCTGGACAAGTGAGTGACTTTCACTATACCAGGGAACACTAAGGGAAAGTCAAGCTTCAAGGGCAGAGTTATGAGTGTACTGAGCCACACTGAGGATTGAGGAGCCTTTGCCACCTCAATGGAAGTGATGAGACAGCAGGTGTGTTTATACCCTGGGCTCAGGAAGGGGTTTTGAAGCAGGGATAAACATTTGGGAATCCTTGACCCATAGATGGTAACTGAAGACTCAGATATGATAGATATCATCTAGGAATGAATAATATCTTCCGGGCAAGTAAAGAAGGATGATCCTCCATAGGAGGTTATCAAGAGTTATAAAAGAAAAGTCAAGAAAGAAGAGAGATGTACATGTTTCAGAAAAGTACTGATCGACATTTATAAGAGATCCACTCTGATTAGATTGGAAGAATGTTTGCTGAATTTAGTGACATGAAGGTCATGAGTGACTTTAGAATCATGCCACTAAAATGTTGGGGATCACACAGAGATTGAAAGGGGCCGAGGAGTGAGGGAATATTGAGAAGAAAGTAGGTATGGTGTTGAGATTAAAGATGAGTAGCTTAGCCCTTAACCAAGTGAAAACCAAATTTTAAAAATAAGTAAAATAAAAAGATGGGCAAAAAATGGACAAGAAATGAAAGATAAGATATAATTGAGAAAGAGAGAGATTTGAAGATGGATGAAACCTTACAGTGGTGACATGTTGATAGGAAAAAGCAGTGAGGAGGTGGACTTTGAAGACAGGGACGAGAGATGATACTGGTGCATGCGTGAGACAGCAAAAGAATCTCTTTGTGATCCAGGAAGTGGGAACGATGATGAAGGTAGATTCTTAGGTGAGAATCTATTCCTGTGAGTACAGGAATTATAAGCCTGTATTCTCAAGATGTTGGCAATAAAGTGGGAAAAAAATTAGTCAAAACATTTACTAAGTACCTGGTAAGTTTTCAATGACTTGCTTCACTGAATTCAATCTGGCTTTCATCTGGGTGGTGAATGTTTTCATTTAGTAAAATAATCTATTTTAGCAACATAAACAAAACTCAAATCATGTTCTCAGAAGCACTGAGTTTAAATATATTATCAATAATTCTTTCTTTCCTGACCATCCTATTCAAAAGTCAATATCCTGGATCTTGTGGAGAGTGTTAGCAATGCCAGTCTATATTTCAACTATCATTAGAACATTTTACTATTGAGATAATTTCTGCAATAACTCAGATTCTAACCATCCCAAGGAGACAGTGTCTCAAAATTTTCTAATGCTTTTCCAAAAGTTTCAAAATATAAGTATAGCCAAAACATAGAGGGTAGTCTACAGAATAATCTTCTGATTTACATAAATCTCCCATATTCCAAACCCACACCACTGTATCCAATCCCTCAGGATTTACTGATCCCTTTTGTATTTTCCCAGTTAGTTTTTTTTTTTCCTAGTTCCTATTTTTGGCATGTCAAGTATCCTTTCACTTAGGACTCTTTTGGCTCTGGTCTCTGAAATGATGCTTATTTTTTAAGTTATTCTTTGATTCTGAAGACTTATTAAGGCATTAATGAAGAGAGCAACTTGATGGATGTCAAAGGAGTTTTCAGTGAAGAGTTGCCAAGGATCGGCTTGATTACAGGGGCCTGTCTATGAAAATAACAGAGAAGGGCTGAGCTCTATAATTAAATCTCTAGGTACCTGAGCTTGTACAGGCGTCCAAAAAAGATAAGATGAAGCCAATATAGGTGATTATTTAGGTCCATTAGCAATCCCAGCCAAAATGCATAATAATAATAACTCAGAATTTAAGAGGATACTTAATTACAAAGCAAATGTTGACAGAGTATCTCTGCTAATGTGGACAATGACCTTATATTACCTGAAAAACGAAATTACTTTTGTTCATGCTATTCTGAAAACTTTTCCACTTCACTTCGGAATGAAAAACATATTTATTTTTTTCATATTGCCCCCTTAGATTCAAACTGCCCTGTTGCAGGATCATCTTTTTCAAGAGAGTTACCCATTTCTTTACCACCAACTCCAGATTACTACATCAAAGTTGTCCATCCTGACTCCCGAGGTCCTCCCTCTGATACAGTCGACACATCTAAAGTAAGACATGGGGTGTGTAGGGCAACAGACGGGATACAGGGCTGCCTGTGGAGTAATACATGGGAAAGGAAATCCCCAAAACTAGTCAAGACAGAGAAGTGTTGTGTCAGGAGCAATTAGAGCCAAGGAGATGAAAAGCTAGGAATCCAAGTGAGCAAGAATAGACTGGTTCCTGCACCTGGCTGAATAAACAAGGCAAACATAAGGGTGAGAAACAATGACATCTCCATCCAGAAACCAGGATGGGAGAGGTTAACTTTCAACAAATGAAGGCCGTGAACAGAGGCAAGGCACTTGTTGGGACACTTGGTCTCAGTTTTCTATTGTCGCTAGACCTGGTAGTGCATGCAGAAGGAATCTTTCATTATAAAAAAATAATGTTTTTATTTACTTCCAAAGAAGATTAGTTTGACATGAAAATATAAATGTATAAATGGTATGATAGTAGATAATAAATTAAATGTTTTTCCCCTGCAAAATGTTGTATGGAGTTAAACACTCATTTTTAAAATAACTTATCTACTATATCAGGATGAAGCTTGGGTCAGGCAATATACTCCCATGTCCCATTTTACTATTATTTTATTTAATACTTTCCATAGATGTCTGAGATGACAGCATGGTTAGTTACAATAACTGTTTTTAGTTATCATGTTATATGGTACTCAGACCACAAGAAAGTTGTAACACCAGCATTGTGACATTTGTTGTTGTTGTTTGTGGTCCTTGGGATTGAACCCAGGGCCTTGTGCATGTGAGGCAGGCACTCTACCAACTGAGCTATATACCCAGCCCATGACAACTATTCTTTTTCAGTCTCAATTACAGATTGCTTACAGAGGCCTAGTTGC